CACACTGAATTATGCAACTTAAGGAATTCCCCCTCTACAATTAGTTGAACATTAAAACATTGTCTTTTCTAAGTATCCACCCTCCATCAAATGGCCCTAATTTGTTTTATTGGATTAAATGCACCTATCTGGCAATATACAGCTGAAAAGTTCTATACTTGGCAAAGTCAAGTGTTCAAGTAGTCACAGTATTCATACTCTCTAATATTTGCCAAAGGTTTCTTACTATTTCACAGAGTCAGGTGCTAAAAAATTGGGATAAATCAAAACTAGAAAACTGGTATTTTTAACGTAGACATCAGGAAATGAAGAAGGAAGAGGTGTGTAATTAAATTCAGTATTGTAACTGTACTGAGGAGCTTTATGTCTCAAGCCAATAGAGTGGCAACTCTGAATGTTGTCTCAGCAGTTTCTTTCCAAAGCTGAAAGTCGCTCCTTTCTTCAGAAATGGCCCTATTATCATCTTACCCAAAATGAACTTCTGTGAATACTCAGCAGGGATGAACACATTAAATCCTATCCATCACCTGAGGAAAATGGTACATACTCAGTTTCCTATGGAAGCAGTATAACAGCTATAAAACTATAAAGCTGTTAAGCCAGTAACTTTGCCAGGTTTGTTCAGATGGAGTTCCAGTTTTTGCTCCAATAAATCCATGTTCAGGATTGCACTTGCTCCTATTCCAAACCCAACAACTGGTATTTTGTAAGAGGGAAGCAATGTTAGAGGTTTTTTTTCATCTTTCTCTGTAGAGTAGGACTTTGTGGTGTCATGACTAGGACAAGACAAGGTGATTCCCGAGAATGCCAGCACATCCCTGCTTTTGGTACCTCCATGGCTCAGGGGCACCCAAGCAGGAGAACCTTATAGTTACATCTTTATGTTTTCAGAAATTACATAGAACTGATAAGAACACGGAAAACCTCTTACATGAAAGAATAACAGCAAATGAAGCTGAGAAGGTGGATCAGGTAACCCTGTTTGCAGAAACATCAACTGAATCTGGAAGCTTGCTTCTCAAAAGATACTGTATATTTTTATGAAAATCAGGACTGTCATTTAAATAAGTAAATGTGGTGCTGTCCACTGTTGGCCCATGGGGTGTTTGCACCTTTCTGTCATGAATCTGACAATTCTTCGAACCAGTAGAGTAGATCAGACAAGTCTATGAAGATGATGTAAGAAAGTATATATATATAAAAATATAAATAAATAATTTATAAATAAATTATATAATTATATTACATTATATTATATTGCATTATATTATATTACATTATAAAGAAATATGTTTTAAAATAAAATTAATTTCCATATACTTTATTGGAATCTAACTCATTACCAGAAGCACCTTAAAACATGGATGTTCACAGAAAAATATTTTGCTCTGTATTAAAAATAATCAACCCCAAAAAGTTAACTTTTAATTTTGAAAATGTAGATGTATTTATACATAATATTTCAGTTTACAGCTACAAAATAATAATAATGTATTATGAAAATTTCTTGATATTGCTGCAGCTGGAAACATAACTTTACATAGTTTGTTTCTTTGTAATTTTACATAGTTTAATGGATTGAAAGTACTCTGTACTTGTTTTTAAATCACTCAGCTGTCTCAGAATTGCTATCATGATGTAAATCTATTTGACAAAGGTTTCAGCCTGCCCAGATGTGGAATGGTGCATCAGAATGAAAAACCACTATATTTCATAGGATTGGGTATTTGGCTTTCTTGGACAAGAGATCTAATCAGCTCGCTCAGGTTTCCCTAAGGGAGGTTTCAGACAGTCCCCATTGTGTAGGAGGGCACCCTGGCTGTGCACTGAGATTAGCCTGCAGAGATTTTATGGGGTTGAGAAAGAAAGGTAAGCTCCCTCCTGCTGCTGGTAAACACTGTTATTGTTCTCCATTCCCTGCTGAATGGCACAAATGCAATTCTGCAATGATAATTACTGCAATAATGAAAGAAATGACACAAAATGACAAGGAATGTGCTAATTCAGTAAGACTCAAGTCATTGACATATTAGTCCCTTTATTGCTTGTTGTTACTTTCAGGCACGTACTCTTTTACTCATAAAGACTGAGCAGATTCTGGGGACTTAGTATTTAAATAATAAATCAGTAAAACAAAGATTAGTGGTGCCCAACGATCTTTTAGAAGCTGTCTGGTCAGTACCTGAACACAGAACATGTCTGATGATGTTAGCCATCCTTGCAGGACTTGCAAGCTGCATCCTTTCCAATGTCCAAAAATGGAGACTTGCTAAATGTTATTTATATGCTAACCAGGAAGGAAAAGGTGGCAAGAGAATAGGCTGCACCAAAATATTGTATTTTTCCTCTGCTTAGACCTTCCGCAGTACCACGAAGGAGATGAGTGATATTGATTTTTTTGTGACCATCTTACATGTAGCTGCGGATGACAACGTGTGAATCTGTGTTTACAGTGCTTGGAAACCAGTCCTGTGAAACAGAGTGACAGGTCTCCTGTATTTGCGGCCCTGTACCGGCAGTGGGGAGCGCGAGAAAGCTCGGGCACAGAATCAACCCTCTCTCAAGGTCTCAGAGAGAACTCAGTGGGAATATTTTCAACTCTTTTTTCTAAAAAGGACCACTGCACTTAGGTAACAACCCTGTTTAAAACCCACATATACACTGCATATGTAAATTCCCTTGTGAAAGTCAAGCATTACCTAGCAATAATGCACAAAGAAACAAATTCTTCTAAAGAACTGAATAAGAAAGCAAGTCTTGCATGCCACAATATGAATCTCTAAAATCATGAAAAACAGGACCACTGGGAATTGCTAACAGTTTCAGCTGCAACACTGAATAATCTAAGTAATCCTTTTTCTATTGAACCAAAAGGAAAAATGAAAAGACTTTCATTGAAATACAGTCATAAATTCCATCCATAAGACTTTTCCTGCAATTAAGTTACATTTACTGATCCACTACTCCCTTAAAAGGAGCATTAACACAAAGACTTCAATTATTCATGGTCAAACAAAGTTGATTCTATTGCTACAGTCAAAGCGGCATTCTCTTTTACTGTGGTTATTTCTGTAGTATCTTCAAAAAGGGCACATAGTCTGTGAAAACATGTAAGTTTTTGAGTAAAAGCTGTTTCCATGATCAATCCTAACTTCTTACATTTAATACTTCTGCCATTTGCTCCTTTCATGAAGATGAAATTTGCTGGGAGTTTTTGTCCCCTTCATCCTTTAAAGGGTAAGCTGATTGAAATACTCAATTTCTTTTTTTTTTTTTTTTTAACCTAGGTCAAACATCCTGAGAAAAAGAAGTCTTTCTCTAAAAGAAAAACCAAGAAACAAAAACCACAGGTATTTACTGTTATGGAAAACTTATCAGTGAGGAAAGAAACCCAGGGAACTCCACAAACTGACCTCTGTGGAAGAGTTTGTGGTTCTTGTGTTGTCAGCAGAGGGCTTAAAAGAGCTGCAGAGGGTCTAACACCTATGAAGAGAGATACCTACTTCTTCTGCTGCTAAAAGCTTCTGCAGTGCTCGCCACTCACTCTTCCACAATTCCCAAGCACTGTCCATTTCCGCTCATGATGCCATGCCCCGAGAGCTGGCACCCTCTGCTGCTGCAGATTGCTGCCCAGCGCAGTCTGAAATACCCTCAGCGTAACTGCCCTAATGAAGCTGCGGAAGTATGCGCTTTAAAGGTCAAGAGTTCCCAATCAATCCCAGGAATTTAAGAAGGGGATAATATTGCCCAAAGACACTAAGCAAAACTTGATCTTCTAGAGATACTTGTTTCATTTTCAAAGGTCGAGAATGAATACAGATTCTCGATATTCTTTGGTATAAGAAAATACCAGGGATACATTTCTTTGACTCAGTAAGAAGTCTGCCATATGATCTATTAAATGTAATGTTAACAGGGAGAGAAATGCTTTCCTCAGTAGACCTCCCTAATAAGCACAAGCCTGAAAGATGACAGGATGTTACAGACTCAAACTGTTGTGTATAAATCTGTTTTCATGTAAATGTGCTACAGACTGACAATTGATTGAGACACATATACATAATAACATAAATACTTCTTCAAAGGTAGTAATTTGTTTCTACAATGTCATGCTCTCTGAGTCATGTCTTTCATAGACATGGAAGTTAATGAATGCTTACCAGGAGTAAAAGATTTCTGCCTGACCATCTTGCAGATGTCAGAGGTTTAACAGATTTAAGTGTTCCTCTTTTTTTTTGCTGGAACTAGGTATCATAAAAATGTGTAACTGAAGAAAAAGAAAGTAACAAATAGTGTGTAAGAGGTAGGAAATTGTATAGCAGTGATACTGACAAATTCTCAATTGATATCTGAATTCACAGATGTTCCTCTTTTAAAAGGTTTCATTGCTGTTCTGTACAGAAAATCTTGAAGGGAATGAAGACTACTAATCCAAAAGGTATATTGTTTTTTTGTACAGGAGATATTTAGAAACTAGAGTGTGAGTGAATTATGACCACAGTGAGTGGTAAGTAAGTAAGCCTTAAAAAGTTTAGGCCTTATTTTAAAAAGCAATTATGTTTTCATTTTTTTTCCTCAAACGAGAGATTACCTTGCTGCACTACAGCTTCTTGGCTTCAGACAAGGGACAGAAAGGTGAGAAAGCAATTACAATGTTAAAGAACCCCGAAAATCCTAACCTGTTCTAAAGCATTGTCTGTCTTTCTTTCCTGTTCAACCCAGGTATTTACGAAACTTATCACTTAAGTAACACCTATTTAATGTACCAAGAAATGTAATAGCAGATAGAGATTTTTTTGACTTTGCTCCCTTTGGTTTGAAAAAGAGGAACTGAAGATGATTATGTGGGTTGGGCACTTCAGTCACAAGTTGCTTACATGCATGACTACCCTTCGAAATTTCTCTTTATTTAATTATTTTTGACTCACACATCATTGACACAAGGCCTGTGACAATAAGAAACTCCAAAGACCATGAAGAAGAATTGTGGAATAATTCATTTGACAACAATGTTTGTGGGAAAGAACATCAGTAAAAGTGCTGTACAGGTACTGCAACTGAGCCTTTTCATTAAATGGAGAGCAAAATGCTTCATTAATTTTTGCTGTAGGGCAACTCACGAGTGAATAGTTATATTTAAGTGACATTCTAGCTTTCTCATGAGAAGCTTAGAAGGTCTCCTCCTAGATAATTAATTACAGCCTTACAGTCTAGTGAAGAATCACAGGAAAAATAGTGTTCAACTAAAAAATCCCCAATGTATTGAGGAGATTTACACAAGGACCATATGCATTACAAGAATTTACCAACGGTATTGTGTTATCAGTATATTCTAATAAACTACTTTTATTTTTGCACATTTAAAGATGGACCTTGTTAATAATTACAAAAAAGCCCGAAAAACCACAACCCTTTGACAGAATAAGTCACTTTATCATCTGAAGAACTGTTTATATATCAATAAAATTTCACCACAAAATCAGCCTAATTTTCTGTCAGCCTTCTTAGAAAATCAGGCTGCCAGGAGGACACAGAAATGTACAATGCACAGTTACTCTCTAAGAGTAAAAATGTTCCTCTATATTGCACTTCCTTGGAAGAATTAAACAGAATTTTGCCTTTTGGATGGTACAAAGTAAATTAATGTCACTATATCATCTGGTATCAGATTATTTAGGACTAACACCACAGAGTAATTTAATTGGAATTCTGAAAATCAGTCATTTAGTCCATCTCAAAGTCAGGTCCAATTATACCAGTTTGCTCAGGAGTTTGTTGGGTTCTGAACAACTCCTAGGATGAAGATTTTCCCACCTCTCTAGGCAACCTGGATCAGTATTTGACCATTCTCACAGTAAAAGCATTTTTCATAGTAGCTAATTGAGTTTTCTAGTGCTCCATCTGGTGTCCATTGTCTCTTAGGCTATTGCTGTGCATCTCTGAGCTCCAGAGGCAGGCTCTCTTGTCTCTGTACCATCCCATTTAGTAGTTGGAGACTACAAGTTCCTCCCCTAAGTCCTCTAATAGTAACACTGTACAAGTCCAGTGCTTTCCACCTCCCCTTCTACATCAGGTGTTTTAGCCCCTGACAATCTTGGTGCACCTCTGCTGGACTCACTGCAATATGTCAATGCTTTCCTTGAACAAGCCCAAAACTGGATACAAGAGTCCAGATGTGACCTCCCATGTGCCAAACAGAAGGGAAGGATCACTTCCCTGCATCTGCTGACTATCCTGTTGGTAATAACCACCTAGGATGTGGCTGGCTGGCACATTGCTGACTCATATTCCATTTGTTGTCCACTGGGACCTTTGTTTCTGTCAGGCTGCTTTGCAGCAGTACTGGCATATGGGGTTATTACATCCTGGATGTGGGGCTGCAATTGCTTTTGTTGAACTTCATACGATTCTTGTTGACCCAATTTCCAGCCTGTTGAGATCCTGAGACCTTTACTTCCACTGTGTAGTCTACTCCCTCAAATCTGGTATTGCCTGTGAACTTGCCAAGGGATGACACTATTCCAGCAGGACATGGCATTGTTGATTGTGTTTTGTTCGCCCATCTTACAGTCTGTATCTCACCAATTTGTCTATAAAGACACCATAGGAAAACAAATTGGAAATACTTCAGATTCCAACTAGTATCTTGCCTAAAATAGGACACAGTCCTTCTAGATAATACAATTTATTAATTATTCAGTGATAACAAACAGAATAGTATGGGAAGTTCATTTAGGGACTGAATCATATAAAGTATCTATTACAATCTACAAAATTAGTATCTTCAAATGGAAGCTCTTTAATAGGAAATAAAAGTTAAGGATTCTAGTCACATAAAAATATATATTAGACAAAACCTAGACTTCAGGAAACTTTATTCAGAAATTACTGTACTGAAAGTTTGTGAGCCCAAAAGCTTGTGTGATTTTTTTTCCCCCAGTGAAAAGCAGTTACTCTAATAAAATATTATCACCTCAGTCTACACACTTGACCTCCCTCACTCACAGATGATAATTTTCAACCTGTTATGTGCAATTGCCAGCATTTTTACCTTCGTCTCTCAGAACAAGAAAATGAAAAAAAAAAGGAAACTGAAGCTTTCCTGGAGCAGAGGAGGTATTCCTGTGCTTCAGCTGTTTGGAAAATGAAGAAAAGTGTATCTGGGAATCATAACTTGATATAGCTCAGTACTATATAGTAAATAATTATGGTTCATGTGGAGGTTAGAAAAAATAACTAATTTAAGAGATATTGTCAAGGAAAAAGGCACTAAGAAGAAGGAGCTTTCTCTTAAATCTGAGCAATATTTTCAGTATGCAGTACTTAAAAGATCTGTATTTATATTACACATAGAAACACACCATATGCAGTCAAGAATGCTTTGAAAAATTAGAGAACTTTTGTATAGTCAGAATAGATGGTCAAGTGGAATAAACAAGCAGAATGTGTTCTTGGAATTTGGATCTTATTTTCATACAATTAAATATGGTAAGTTATCCATTCCCTATTACATACTACAGTCGTAACCCATCATGGTTCTATTTTTATTATTACATTGATGTAACTGCACTACTGTCTACCCCATTAAGTATCAGTGCTGATAATTAAGATGTATTTTATTGCTTCTGTAAATTATTTTTAATGCCTGTTTTGTTATACAAATGACATCAAGTGATGAACTACAAATCAAGGCCAGTAAGAAATTTTGTTTCCAGCTGACATGAATTTCCTTCATAGGAAGTGCGATACTAACGCATGTATATTTTGAAAATCTCCATTAGTCAGAATAGTTGCAAGGAATGCAGCATGAAACACAGGGTCCAGGAAAAACAATATAAAAAGGCTAAAACATGCATTAATTTGAACACTCTGAATAACACATCCTTTACCTGCCCAGATTATAACTTGTAGAACACACTGGTGTTTATTTATCTTTTAAAATTCAGATAAATGTTAGCAAAATTATTGCATGTATCATTTTCACATTTTATTCACATGAAAGACTTAGAAATTATTTTATGAAGCATAAGACTATTTGACAGTCAAAAAAGAAACAGTTAAAACCAAAACAGTTGTTTGCTTTTACAGTAAAATGAGTATCACTATGGTGAAAATAACTTTCTTTAAAGAAAAGCTCCCCAAAGGATTATTTTGAATAATTTTTGAAAAATGCTATGCTGATGTTTTCTTCTTCAGTTTCTTGTACCACACAGGTGCCTCTTTATTTGTCTGTAAAAGAACGAACATTTAGTTGTGAGACAGTGAACAGAAGAACATACAGTTACAATCTACACAAGTCTCCCTCCTTCCTGTGTAGTTCAAAGTTGAGTTCTTTGCTTCAATGCAAATATCAAAACAAAAACTACACATTAAAAGTTACTATTACAACATAGCAGTATTTAAACCTCCCCATTTCCAGGTTTAAAAAAGAAGAGTATATGTTGAAAAAGAAGTAATTACAAAAAATACCCACAATAATGAAAATAAGCATCAACTGTGCCATAAATAGGTTTCATTTGAAATAACATGAAATACTTCACTTGAAATAATCATCTGTGTTTTCCAGCTAAGAAAGGAATGAATCTTAGAAAAGAGATCTTAGGTGTGTCAAAACTGACCAAGACCTTATGCAGAAATATGGTTCTTACAAAATTTTAATTGAAAATAAAAGAATACAGTAGTTTTCTAACTCTGTACAAGGTATTTTAATTGCAGAGAATTATCCGTGAACAACTTTTCCTCTTAACCCTATGAGTCACTGCTACACAGTCAGGATTGCTTGTGGCAAATTCAGTGGTGGTTTGTATAAAATAAAATAGTTAAAGTTTTAATAGAAATAAAATTAATCAAGTGGAGGTGGAACAAGGTAAGGACTATTCTGCTTTCAGGGTTGGGTATAATCTCTTGAGTTAGTACGCACTGTCTCAGTCTGTTGTCCCTAAACTTGTTCCTTTCTAGTTCCCTTTTCTGACTGCTCTCTATTCATTCTTTCCTCCAAGACTTAAAAAGCACTCAATTAAAAAATCTACTTTATTATTTTTGAAGACTTCAGTTACAAAACCAAATCTGGTCTATTTGTGCAAGCTTTTAGAATTCTGGAAATTGACCTAAAGTGGCAGGATTTTCATAGGACTACTGATTTCTTTTCCTATCTAAGAAGAAAAACTGTGCCATCTGCCCATTTTCAGTTCCCTACTCCTAAGTCTGCAAAGGCTAGAGTTTTTCACAGAAAAATTGGTTACAATTTCTTAATGTAAATGCAGTTTTTCTGGATTTCTATACAGTTTCTATATCCCTAAGTAAGACAGGACAGATTACGCAAGGAAATATCCCCAGATCATTTATGCAAACTGTTTGCTTATGTTTCAGACCACTGAATAGCTCCATCAAAAACAAAGTTTGGGCAGTATGATTTAGCACTATCAAATGGACTATGGATGAAACAGCACTTGGTAAGCCTGTGTTTAGTCTAATAATGCTATTCAAGCAAAATTTGAACTCCTAAATATCCTCACATAATTTCCCAGAGATGCTACTGTTTCCTACATTTTGTGTTATACACCCAATACATGCTGTGCTGCACTACAAACCTCATATCATTTAAGACACTGTATGTTAAAGTCTCTACCAGGGGAAAAAAACCCCAACAAAATAAGGGGGAAAAAGAAGACAGAAAAGAAAAAAAGAGTTCTCTTTGGACCAAATCAGCACATATGCTATGCAGTGTGGATACACCCAGTTCACTCCAGAGAAAGGCAGCATCATGAAGTTTGTAAATAAGCGTAATGACTTGCTTTGTGATTCAGCATTGCAACTTGGCTGTCTTGACTCTAACAGTTCAGACACAGTCAGAAACTTCTAAACCATTTTCATGAAACTTTCCAATAGCAGAGGCACTAAATCTGAAGTAGGCCAATTCAAATATTAAAAGCCAAGTTTTTAGTTTGTGAAGGAATAAAACAGGGCTTTATACTCATTTTATAACATCAGGCTTCCTTAGCAACAGAAGTGATATCAATACTGTGTTCTGTTTTTATATATATTTAGATACATAAGCACATACACATTAATATACATCAATATAAGTATGCAGAAATACACCTATTTCCTCACTCCTGCTTCTCAGTATAGCTATGCACAAACTGCACTTACACACAATCATGGTAGATTTAAATTAGTGTACATGGTGTGTGAATCCCTACAACTATTAAAATCTTGCTAGCCACTCAGTGTTGTAATACAACAATGGTATTTTTTAAAGACCTGGTTTGCTATGAACTTAAGATATAGAAAGTAACCAAATAGCTAAAAAACATCACAACCTCTGATTTTTCTCCTCAACACTGACTGTTTCCATAAAGAGCTGAATTATTTACACATTTCCCAGAAGGATGAATCCACATTTTTATTTTTAAAAAGTGAGAACCATCAGAAGTTTTGGCACTTACTCTTCTCATAGTACTTACAAATAACGTTGGCTTAGGTGTAAATATATTTCCTTCTTCATGTTCTGGTAGCAGTTTTACCAAAGGTATTGATTGTTTTCCAGTTGCACTTTTTACATCAATGTGAGACAGAGGTAGATTTTGTTCACAGCGTTTACCATGTAGAGTAAAAATAATCTGTTTCATTTTGGCTAGTTCCTATAAAACCACAAAAGAACAATGATAAATTATTAAGTTAAATTACATTTGAACCTACAAATATGTATTTGTTAACAATAAATTTATATTCTCCAAACACAGATCAGTAAATGTAAAAAATAATATATACTTGCTATAATTAGTAAGATTACTACCTAAACCCTAGCAAAGTAGGAAAACAAAACAGGCACAGAAGATTCATACAACTCAAATTTTGTCTTGCTTAAGGCTGTAAAAGAGAACATTTACTGTGTAGTAAGAAGCACATTATCTCTTTTAACTTCGACTTCAATTCTACTTAAAACATTCTTTTGCATTTATTTTTTAAGGCTGAGGGAGTGTACAAATCTAATTTGAATGACTGTGACAACTTGTACTTTTGAGCACTAGGTCTTGCACAGAAATTTTATAAATACATTACTAGAAATATTTCTTTATATCCAGATTAGAAAAGAAAAATCAATGCAGAATCTTTAGAGGATGTACAGCAAAAAGAGAATCAGAAAGGAAAAGAAGTTTTGTGAGAAATGAAAGTTCCAATGTGGAAAAAGGAATGAGAATATATAGACATGCAGCCTTTTTTTCAGATATCCTAGCAGTTTGCTTTAAAAACAAATTGAATTAAAAATATAATCTTCCCTTAATACTTAAATCTGAACAAAACAGATTACTCAAAATGTACAATAGAGTAGTAAAGGAAAAAACATAGCATTTTCTGACTTTAACTGTACATCTTCTTTTATCATCTTTCATCACACCTACCTCCTAATGTTCCCCCTTCCCCCCATATAATGGGTATGATTACTATAAAATAGGTTACAGAATCTAAAGCATTAATTATTATTATTACTATTAGTAGTATTATTTAGAGCATTCATTATTGTAGAATTAGAACAGCAAGATCAGTAGAAAAAGCCTTTCAATGTAAATTTTAAGATGATTTTACATGTTTTAAAATATTCATGTTTTTGTTTGCTTGCTTTTTACAAATGGTGTTGTCTTCAATAAGCAACACTGTTACTGTATTAGCCTTATATATAATTAACATTCTGTCTCATCTCGCAACCAGAAAAGGGTAATTTGTGTTTATAGCTGAATGACAAGTATTTGTTAAATCTCATCTATTTAATACCTGCCAGAAAATTAAACTGATGTACATTCTCTTTTCATTGAATTATTAGTAATGAGTTAAAAAAACCCAACTGTCAGCCTTTTAAAATATTCCTGCCATATACCTTCTCTCTGTCCACTGCTGCCTTTAATACAAAAAGCAAAGTCGAAAGAAACACGCTGAAGCCTTTAAATTGTCAAACACTAACTGAGTTACATGAATGGAAGTTACACTCCACAGACCAGCTTTATCGAGTGTACAAATTGTTCTTGTATCTCAGTCATTTAATATTAACTATTTGCATAATTCAGCCATGTGTGGTGGCATGTTGAAACAGCATGACTGCAGAGCAGCTGTTTAAAAGGACTGCATAGCTGATGCCAACATGTTTTTCAAAGTTGTAAACTCTGCAAAGATGTTGCCAAAGCAACACATAGACAGAATTTCTTGATGAAAATAACTCAAGCAAGCATACAGCAAATAAATACACCATCACAGGAGATTATATTGTACATAAACAATGTTTTGACATTAGCAAATGGTGTTCCTATACTTAAATTGTGTTATTCTGTGGACCAAATAGTTGCACGGTTGAACAAGGCAAACCCCAAAAACTGTCACACAGATTTATTTCAGAAACAGAGTTGAAATTTGTATGTGTAGGGTCAAATTCTCTTGTGTCAAGATCCACTTGGCAGTTTAAAGTCTTCTCTACTTAATAGAATCTGTCCTGTATTTGACAGCACTGTCTGTTTTCAGACTTGGAATAGGCTCTGGAGAGTCAGCTCTCACACAAGCTTCCCTTGTGACAGGAGGATTCTCTAATGCGAAACTATAGGAAAGAATGACAGGGAGTGGGGATGAAAAATTAGTCCACAACGAAGAAGCTATTTTGGCATCACAGCCAAATTTATCATGAGGCTTTAGCTAAGGTTGTCTTAATATTTGTTCTAAACCCCCACCTCATTTAGAAAGAAAGACCTTTAGACACTTGGCAAAATAAATAGCACAAGAAACACTGAATCCAACAGAATTGCTGGTAATAGTGTACTGCTAAACAAGAAAAGAAAATTGCCACAACATATTTGCAAGACATTTGCTGTATTCAACAACAGAAAAACTGAAAACAAAACTCTGTCTTGAACTGCAGTAATTTTAACCATGTCTTCAGATTTCTGTGCACCTGAACACAATCATAATTCTTACCTTTAAGTTTCAGTTATGAGTACCTGCTACTGCTGGCATGCTACCTTGATTCTGTAAGTATTATTTTCCATTCCTAAAAACCAACAAGTTGGTCTAGAAAGCTAGCAAGGAGAAAACCGCTCTGGAGATTGTACTTAGCAGAAATATGTGAACCTCTTCCAGTGGGAACAAGACTTTGTGAAAGAAAGGGAAAATAGGTAGGGCTCAAAGGAGATGGTAAGAATCTTTTGTGGAGAAGGACATGTACTAGTTTCAGGATAAGCTAAGTAAAGGAAGATGTGAAGATAAAAAGATGATTAAAATTCTTCTACTTTTTAGTGTGTCAAGTCCATGTTTCTGTGCTCAGGCAGAGCTGTGCTAATTGTTTACTGACTATATCCCCTTCAGTTACTCAGTGCACTGTAGAAAACAGTGTTGCTAAAGCTCTGCATTTCCCAGTTTCTCTGGGGAAGTATCTGGTCTTTGCCACGCTGGCTGCTGGACCTATAAGCCATGCTACGCAAGGTATGTGTCACTGTTTTGAGGCTTCCAGGGTTGAGGGCTTTGGCTTTGGACAGCCAGACAGAAATCCTTCTTGGGAGGATTATGAGTACCAACACCTCTGAGTGGATTCACCCAGCTCCTCCCTGGCTTGGCTTTACACCTTTGGTCTCACTGTCACAAACTATGGGAACACAAGCACCCACTCACCGCTTACGCAACATTCTGTGGGGACGTGGCAGTGCAGAGACATGGAAAACAATGCAGCTGGCAAAAATGGTGGGTTAAGATGACACAAGGAAAAAAGTAACCTGTGCAGCTGGCACAAAAACAGTGCTTACATACAATTAGTGTCACCCATACAAACAAGCATCAGGACTGTATTATTAAATATTTTGAAAGTCTGCCTACAGCTACCTGATGAATCTTTAAGGATGTTGCTCCATGCACCAGCACAAGTCCCAAAAATCAAAGTAATGAGCAATGTGACACATTAAGTGGGATTTCACTCAAACTTAGAACACAAATTGCTGTATCTAAACATGAGTATCTAACTACAAGCTAAGAATCTAATTTTCCATTACAGACAATGTAGCTTGGAAAGTGACTCCGTTCAGAAATAGGACATTATTGGTGTTGTAACATTAGTCTTGCTGATTAGGCCACTGTTAACTATAAAGCACAGAAAGATACCTCACCACAGACACCTTTATTTTGATACCTAAATTTAGTTGTGATAAGCTGAATCCATTTCTCACCTCACTCTCCTTATCATTTACTTTTCTCAGGCTTCTACTTTGCCTAAAACAACTTTCATCCTGAATAGCCAGTGTGCAGTCATAATTCTCCTTGCACACAGATCTGAAGTATCAGATTATTTTCTTAAAAGGAACTGTATTTTCAGAACAAGCTTTCACACCACAGATTATCTACTTGGTAAGTTTTCCAAAACATACAGAGATTCATACTTTAGGACAATCTAACACCCTGTATTCCACTTATGGATATTAATTCATATTTAGTAAAGATTACTTGAACTATAAAAGAATACTTGAAAATTCTGCATACATAACCAGAAAAGGAGTTGGAATTCAAAGTAACTGATTAGAATGAATGGACTGAGAACACTGGGAGTGATGTAGCAGGAGGTGAAGTAAGGTAACATGGACTGCATTGTAAATAGTATCAGAAGAAACTACTTGCTCATTTCCATTTATTTTTGGTAAGTTATGTCCAACAACCTTAGTTAAAAATAGCAAAAGCAATTTTGTGTGCCAATATACAAGCAGAGAAGGAGATATAAAGGTTGGACTCAATGATCTTAGAGGTCTTTTCCAACTTTAGTGTTTCTATGACTCGTTATTAAGTTACAGACAAAGGATAGACAGCAGTCTTTTTCACAGCATCCATTAATTAAAATGTCTTCTGGTCTGGCGTATTTCCCAAATTCTACCTTGCTAATTTATTAGCCTAAATACTGGTGTTGAGGAACTAACTGAAAATCATCAGCCTTTAAAATAGCATTAAAAGAACCAAAGAAGTGTAAGTCATTTTTAAAAGGTAAAGTAAAAAAGGGTATTACCTACTCATAATTCAGAAAATTCAGGGACTTTCTAATGATGTTTGAGCTTCAAGTAGAAGTAAAAATAAGCTGTGGTTTATTAAAAATAGATTTTACCCATCTATTATGGATAATTGAAACAGTACCTAGAAAAATTGATCAGTTTTGGAATACAAAGATAAAATTTGATTCCTTCAACTAGCAATGCAACTAGAAGATAAGCAAATGCAAAAATAAGGTATGGAGCCATATAAGATATAAATGTATTTCAAGTCACAGATACTATAAAGGAAACTCTATTAACATTGGGTTTGATGTCCTTGATACACGCTCAAACATACATGTACCAAAAGACCTGCTTATGTCTCCCTAATTCAAAATTAATAGAGTATTAGGTATTATAACAAAACCACAACTGACATTGTCAAAGCAAAATGAAGAAGAACTGTCTCCTGTGGGAAATGATTGAGGCATAAAAAGGTGCTCTTTTATCATGTAACTGATGAAGTATGTTGAAAAAATGCCTACTTTAAGCATTGTAATCAAGTATAGTATCAAGATAGTAATTTCATTTTTTTTCAGTGAATTGTCAACAGTAATTTTTTTTTCTTTCTCCCTCTGTCATGTAACTATAATCAAAGG